TAAGGCGTGTTGTCTGTGTGATATCGAGTCATGTATGGGGGAAACGCAGATGTACAATACAAAATAACAATGTATGTTTCCATGCACATATAGGCAATCTTTTGTAGGAGCCCGTTGACAAAAAGTGAGGAAGTAGTGAGACCCTGTCTCTGCGCCCCCCCCGTCTCTCTCTCTCTCTCTCTCTCTCTCTCCACACATATTTCTCTGTATATACAACCGTTTCCAAATATCAAGAGTGGCCAAAATCGAACAGAAGAGAAAGTCGGGCGAAGAGTGTCATGCAACGGTGGATGACTTTCTACTACCGGGGGCCAAAGAAATTAAGACGACTGACATGGAACCCAACAAGGGTTGTATAGTAGACAAACAGCGAGAACATATAGACAGGCTAAGAGAGGAGGTGGATAAGCAGAAACAATTGGTGAGAGAGTTCTCGGACGAACTAGGCCGTGTTAAGTCACTGCTCGACGAAATGACAGAAACTGCGGAACACAGGATGTTCACTGTGTTCTGGTTGTTACTGGACGATCCTAAATGTTTAGACATAACTCGTCTGAGGGAGGACATGTCTGCCAGACTGAAGGCAATAGCTGAAACAAAGACCACCACGTTTGATGAGTTCCAGACATGGTTGGATATTGAAAGGCGCAGGCGCACTCCGGTCTTGAATCGGTTCGCAGCCCATGTCACAAAGAGAACTCAGGGGGAATCACAACGACGGAATGTCGCGTCTTGTGCCAGCCCTGGCAAGTGCGTGCTGAAGGAGGAGTGGGTATCCTACGATAGCTAAGCGTATACCACATGTTCGCTATCTGCTTCGGGACGCAGTGTCGTTGACCTCTTGGCCTTCGCAGAAGACTGTACTCGGCACTGTATGGAAACCGTGGAAGAATACGGTCTTTGTGACGAGGGTGTGACGTCTGTTAAGGATGACCTTCCTAGCAACATGGCGTCTCTGTTGAGCAGTTGTGCGGACGTCATGGATGCCTTGCAACACACTCGAGGTAGGTTGTTGGGTGGAGAACTGACGGTGACATGTGTGAATGAAGTTGTCATGGGAAGTGCAGAAGGTGAAAGGTCGAAGGCGAGTGAAAAACTCGACACAACAATGCAAACGTCCAGAGGGATCGGGACCAGTGTCGTGGAACTTGCGCCTGCGCCGCATCCCCTGCTCGTATGCACCGATGTTGCAACACTGAACTGTCACCTGACTCGTCACAACTTCCCTTGTGTCGTTGCCAACAGAGCACCTTCTGCTGATGCAGAATCTGTTGTGCTGCCAATGACGACGGACACATTCGAAAAGTTTGTTGCAAATGTGAATTCTCGACAAATGGCGAGGCTAGTTGCGGACTTTCTGTCCCATCTCATATCATACATCAAAGAGATTATGGCACCGGTCTTTACGAACGCAGGCCAGCATGGAGGGAATCAGAAATGTGAGCATTGCAGGAAAGGACTACACATCTACGACCGCTTAAAAACTCTCTACACTAGATGTCAAATCGTGGCAGCGCGGGTGGTCAGGGACGCGTGATCTCTCTCTCTCTCTCTTTCTCTCTCTCTCTCTCTCTCTCTCTCTCTCTCTCTCTTGCATTCACATACTTGTGGTTGGCTACTGCTTGCCATGTACATATTCCTCTCGCGCTTTGTGTTCTCGTTCTGCCCCGCTGTAGTTAACCGCTGTCTATTGCGCATGAGATGTTTGTCGGAGTCCTGACCCGTACTATTTAACCTCTCGGTGTTGCTGCATTTCTCTCGACTCCAAGTACTCGCGGATGAGTACCGCGTGTCACAACTGTGTCCAGCGGTGGTGTTTGTTGTTGTTCTGGCCCGCATTAGTAAACCGCCGCTGTCGCTACATCACTGCCTCTCGGACAGTATGAGGTTCACTACTGCCGGCCAATTAAGGTCTCTTAAGTGTTGTTTGTTGGAGTTATGGCCCGCAGTAGTGAACCTCGCGGTGGTAGTACACTGTAGTTTCCCTGCTACGGAAGGTTCACTACTGCGTGCAATGTTTTGCCTCCAACCGGTGCTGTTTGTTGTCGTTCTGGCCTGCAGTAGTGAACCGCCCTCTGTCGATGCATTACAGCCTGTTCGACAGCATGAAGTTCACTACTGGCGGTCAATTTCGGTCTCTTAAGTGATGTTTGTTGGAGTTATGGCCCGCTGTAGTGAACCTTCCGTGAGAGTACACTCTGTAGTTTCCCAACTACGGAAGGTTCACTACTGCGTGCCATGTAAGTGTTAACCGGTGCTGTTTGTTGTCGTTCTGGCCCGCAGTAGTGAACTTCCCTCTATCGATGCACCACAACCTGTCCGACAGCATGAAGTTCACTATTGGCGGCCAATTTCGGTCTCTGAAGTGATGTTTGTTGAAGTTATGGCCCGCAGTCGTGAACCTCGCGGTGGTAGCACACTGTAGTTTTCCAACTACGGAAGGTTCACTACTGCGTGCCATGTACGTGTTAACCGGTGCTGTTTGTTGTCGTTCTGGCCCGCAGTAGTGAACCGCCCTCTGTTGATGCATCACAACCTGTCCGACAGCATGAAGTTCACTACTGGCGGCCAATTTCGGTCTCTAAAGTGATGTTTGTTGGAGTTATGGCCCGCAGTAGTGAACCTTCCGTGAGAGTACACTCTGTCGTTTCCCAACTACGGAAGGTTCACTACTGCATGCCATGTAAGTGTTAACCGGTGCTGTTTGTTGTCGTTCTGGCCTGCAGTAGTGAACCGCCCTCTATTGATGCACCACAGCTTGTCCGACAGCATGAAGTTCACTACTGGCGGTCAATTTCGGTCTCTGAAGTGATGTTTGTTGGAGTTATGACCCGCAGTAGTGAACCTCGCGGTGGTAGCACACTTTAGTTTCCCAACTACAGAAGGTTCACTACTGCGTGCCATGTACGTGTTAACCGGTACTGTTTGTTGTCGTTCTGGCCCGCAGTAGTGAACCGCCCTCTATCAATGCATCACAGCCTGTCCGACAGCATGAGGTTAACTACTGCTGGCTAATTTCGGTCTCTCAACTGATGCTTGTTGGATTTATGCCCGCAGTAGTGAACCTCGCGGTGGTAGCACACAGTAGTTTCCCTACTAGGGAAGGTTCACTACTGCGTGCCATGTAAGTGTTAACCGGTGCTATTTGTTGTCGTTGTGGCCCGCAGTAGTCAACCGCCCTCTGTCGATGCATCACAGCCTGTCCGACAACATGAAGTTCACTACAGCCGGCCAATTTCGGTCTCTCAAGTGATGTTTGTTATAGTTATGGCCCGCAGTAGTGAACCTCGCGGTGGTAGCACGCTGTAGTTTCCCAACTACGGAAGGTTCACTACTGCGTGCCATGTAAGTCTTAACCGGTGTTGTTTGTTGTCGTTCTGGCCCGCAGTAGTGAACCGCCCTCTCTCGCTGCATCACTGCCTGTCCGACACCACAAGGTTCACTACTGCCGGCCAATTTTCATCTCTCATGTCATGTTTGTTGGAGTTATGGTCCGCAGTAGTGAACCTCGCGGTGGTAGCACACTGTAGTTTCCCTACCACGGAAGGTTCACTACTGCGTGCCATGCAAGTGTTTCCCGTTGCTTCTTATTGTCGTTCTGGCCCGCAGTAGTGAACCTCGTGCTGTTGCTGTATCTATGCATGTCTCTCTGTCAGAGGTTCACTACTTCGTCTGTATTTGGCAAGAATGTTATGTTTGTTGGAGTTATGGCCCGCAGTAAGCAACCTCTCTCTACTGTCAAAACTCTCTCTCTCTCTCTCTCTCTGGGGTGAGGGGGGCATGTCGGAGCTACGTATTCTCATAAATGTATGTGGTGTCTCATGCAATAGATGGAACCCGCGATTGCATCGACTGTCAACGCTGGAGAGACTTGCGCCATGGAGACAAAGGACATTGTGAAGGGTCTTGCAGATTGCAGCAAGGAAGGAAATTCGGTTGAGATGGATATTACTGACTGTGCAAACGTGCTGGCAACAATATATGCACAGACTGCAGAGATGATGGGTGATGGTGATGAATCAGACAATGATGCAGGAGGGAGCACTTGTGAGACGGAAAACGTTGGGGAAGAGAGAGGAGAGGGAGGCATGGGGAGCAGGGAAAATCATGCAGGGCGTATTGTTGAGGATGAAAATGTGGTCAAGACATTAACAGAAGAACAGTTCCCATATGACATCAATTGGGTGCCTGGTCGTGTTCAATCGGGTATTGTTGGAGGAGTACCCTGCTTCGCGTTCAAAGTGGTTGGGACTTGGGTTCCATTTCCTGTCCCCAAAACAAGCGCATGGCGAAATGTGACTCTGTCAATCGTGTTTGACAGAGTATTAAGGTTGAACGATGCGGCAAGAGCTCAAGAGAAAGGGCAACATGCGTTGAAAATGTGGCGTGTTCTGGAGGCGAAGGGCGAGTTCAGGCTTAACGATTTTTTGTACGACAGTTTTGATTGCGGAACGCCATGGGTGATTGGTGGGAACGATGCAGCAGCGAGAACGGTGTGTCCCGAGAATGATGCAAGGAGGGATCCTAGGTGGGGTTTGGTGCCATATGAGATCCTGATTACATGTGGTCGGGTGAGGATGCAGATGCGTGATACCATGGAAAATGTCTGGAACACCCATTACATCAATGGCAGGTTCTCCTTCAAGCATCTCAACGAGGAGGTATCAGAAGAGGAGAAGAAGGCAATGACATGTCCCCCTCATACTGCTGGGTGTTTTTTCCCGCCGCTTCGGAACCCTATGGAGTTGGAGGTGGTGGACGGGAAACTGTTGTCTGGAGAGGATGGTGCCACATACACAGCTGCAAGAGGGCAGGAAGCCACATATGATGGACTATGGTCGCAGATATGGGACCATGTCACATTGAGGCGTGACGTTTAAACTGCCACGGACATTGGGGCCCATATCATCCTTGAGGGACAGTTGCAGCAGCATATGGCCCCTGAAAAGTATGGCTATCACGTCAATTGGGTCCCGGGATGTTTGCATCCTGCAGTGGTTGATGGCAAGGTGACGATGGCAGCAAAGCTGCAGTCAGGGCAGTGGCTCCCATTGGGATGGATGCATGCAGGCATTGTGGACCACGTGTCTCAATTTTCAATGTAAATGTCAAGGACCACGTGCTGTTGGTTGAACACGCAAAGCGTTGTTGGGAGAAGATCAGGGAGGAGGACCGTTAGATGGTGTGTGCGGGTTACGACTCCATGGCAGACCAGGGGATGTGGTTCATGGTTGAGGGGAGTTGCGCTGGGCAAGAGCACGATGACGATGAGAACATATACATGGCTCACATTCGCCGCAGGCACCGTTGCACGACCCTTCTTGGTTGGGTCCTAGTCGTATGTCCCATGACATACGCGCATGGTGGAAACGTCACCATGACATTCACAGACCCGCTTGGTATGCCTTTCCATCTTACCTACTCAGATGGACTCCTGCGAGACATTCGGTATGTCGCGGAGAACGACTTGGCAGGTGGATTGACGTGGAAGGGCAAGAGGACAGAGAAGCGCTCCGGAATTTCCCGTTTGTCTGCTGAGGTGGAAGGCCCATGTGGTCCTGGTGGCAGCGCAGGGTGCTCTGCAGCAGAGGGGGACACGGCCGGCCCAAGTCACGCTGCGATGTCCCAGAGCCCGAGGAAGATGAAGAAGTGCGCGTCGAAACCGCCAACTGGGAAGACGGCTGCAGGCAAAAAGAAGAAGAGCCCGAAGCCCGTGCCAGCCACCGGTGACACTGCAGATGCACGCAGTCAGCCCCACAGACGCCGTCGACGCCCCGGGATGGCAACTCTGGCGGAAATCAGGAAGTTGCAACGATCCACCGACCTCTGCTTGGCTTTCAAGCCATTCTTGCGGATCGTGCGCGAGGTTGTGGAGGAGRMCATTGCTCCTGGTGCGGGCGTGAGGTTTCAGATGACGGSGGTGYGTGCTTTGATGGAGGCTGCYGAGGCGTAYCTSGTTGCCAATTTCGAGAACACCAACGAGGTCGCGATCCACTCGAAGAGGGTGACGATCCAGGTCAAGGACATGAGGCTGGTGGATAGGTTGTCGAAGCCTCCCTGGGTGGAGAAATATGAAGGTATGTTGGACGAGAGGGCAAGAGAAGAGGAGAGGCAACGACGGATGGAGGCCAGACAGGCGGAGAGGGATGGCAGCAGAGCAGGCGCGAAGAAGAGAAAAGCAGTGCCTCGTAAAGGGGGGGGCGCGAAAAAAAAGGCTGCTTGAGAATTGTGCTGTGTGTGTCGCATAATGGTTGTCCCGTCTGTTTCTGTCATGGTTAGTCTTCGTGGTGTTCGGTGGCTTGGTTAGGTGGAGAGAGAGAGAGAGAGAGAGAGAGAGAGAGAGAGAGAGAGAGAGAGAGATCAGGTTCTCTAGCGGGGGACATATATGTATAGATAGACGACACTGTCGCTGATTTTGCCTCCAACTAGTGAATCTCTTCTTTTTTTGTTTTTTTCTTGTTCTCCTTTCTTTCTTTCTTACTTTCTTTCACAGACGCTCGAAACACACCTCACAACAGTTGTGTTCACATCCGACGACATCGATGTGCGACGTGCAGCGGAAGGACGAATGTCAGAGTTGAACATGCATAGGCATGTTCAAAAGAACGGCCTTTGGGGGTTCTACAGGGGCCCCAATGGTGACGACCCTCAGCTAGACTACCACCTGGCATTGCAGCCAGACCGTATGCACACAATCGAGCATGGCATATTCCTGCACATGATTGACGCATTCAGGACGGTAACATTTGACAAGTTGCCGCACATACCGCAAACAGAGATCCTCAAGGAACTAGATGTCAGGTTGCAGAGCGTTAGTGAGAGATGCACGTGAACATACCCCCAACCTATGCTGCCGGTGGCCACTGGCAGCGATTTTTTTTTGAGGGAGGGTCGGTTCGAGGCGAAGCAAAACCGGTCTGTGATGACAGTGTGCGTGTTCCTTATTTGTAATATTGTCCCGCGCTCGACAGGCAAGGGCATCACCATTTGTTTTGTGAAACTGATGGAAATGTATGTACAAGTGTTTCGGTGCACAACACACACTCGTGCTTCGCTCGATGAATGTTACGCTTTGATCACGGACTTCATTACGACCATCAAAGCGAAATTGGGGAGATATCAACCATCAGAATGAAAACTTCCCAAGTTGCACGATCTACTGCATCTGAGAACGTGTATTGAACGATCCGGTGTTCCTGACACCTTCGCAACAGACGTTTGGGAGCATCACCATAGGAAATTCTGCAAACAGCCATACCTGTCATCAAACAAACGGAAAGCTTCAACCCAGATGGTGAACTATGTACGCCGGTCGTTGGCGTTGCAAAAAGAGACCGGGATCGTGAGGAAACGGAGGAAGAGAACGGTCGAGAACCGATCGTCTTTGACAGACTGCATGGCCACGGGAATGAATACCCTCGCACTACGCGATACAAAAATTCTGCAACTGCGGTGGTTCGACATCGATGACGAGCACATACAGGAGGGAGAAGGCATTGACAACCGTGCGTGTACGATACTCAAAGAACTTCCTTTCATACGTGATTTTCGAGCAGCGCTTACGACCTACATGGTGGAGAATGGTTGTCAACCTTCTTCTGATGACCTGCTTATACACACACCAACACACCTGGCCATCGCCTGCGTACAGGACAGAACAAACAGGGGCACACTTGTTCAAACTGCAAGAGCGTCGCCACAGTTCCATGGGAGACCAGTGCACAATGACGTCGCAATAAGAACAGAAAACAAATGCACATGGTTTGCATCAGTAGCCATGTTTTTTGTCATGGCCGCACCGACGAACAGCGGAAATATGGAACACAACTGCGGATTTGTGCAATGGTACAACGAGGTCAACAGTGAACGGCAACACGTGACAAGATGCAAGAAATTGAAATGGGAGAAGTTGAATGGGCATCAACACAGCAGCGTCGTATCAACCGACACTATTGTAGACATCGTTCACATTGTTCCACGCTTCTGTAAACCA